AGAATTGTGGGAGGCTATCAAGAACATTATCCATGAAGAAAGTGAGAGATCACTAAAAAGACAAGAAAAGAAGAGAAGACCAAAATGGATGACAGAAGAGACTCTGAAACTTGCCCTTGAGCGGAGAGTAGCTAAAGCCAGTGGAAGAAATGACAAGATAAAAGAGCTGAACAGAAGATTTCAAAGAGCAGCTGAAGCAGACAAAACCTATTACTATAAGGAAATGTGCAAAGACCTGGAGTTTGAAAACCAAAAGGGAAGAACACACTCAGCATTTCTCCAGCTGAAAGAATTGAAGAAAAATTTAAGCCTCAAGTTGCAATATTGAGAGATTCTATGGGCAAAATATTGAATGATGCAGGAAACATCAAGAGAAGATGGCAGGAATACACAGAATCACTGTACCAAAAAGAACTGATCGATCTTCATCCATTTCAGGAAGTGGCATACGATCTAGAACCAATGGTACTGAAGGAGGAAGTCAAAGCTGCAATAAAGGCATTAGCAAAGAACAAGTCTCCGGGAATTGACAGAATACCCACTGAGATATTTCAACAAATGGATGCCCCATTGGAGGCACTCATTTGGTTTTGCCAAGAGATTTGGAAGACAGCTACCTGGCCAACTGACTGGAAGAGATCCATATTTGTACCCATTCCAAAGAAAGGTGATCCCACAGAATATGGAAATTATAGAACCATATCATTAATATCGCACACAAGTAAAATCTTACTGAAGATAATTCGAAAATGTTTGCAGCAGTATATTGACAGAGAACTTCCAGTATATTGTCAGAGGTGCAAGCTGGATTCAGAAGAGGATGTGGAACAAGGGATATCATAACTGTTAGATGGATCTTGGCTCAAGGCAAAGAATACCAGAAAGATGTTTACTTGTGTTTTCTTGACTATGCAAAGGCATTTGATTGTGTCGATCATGACAAATTATGGATAACATTGAGAAGAATGGGAATTCCCGAGCACTTGATTGTACTCATGAGGAACCTGTACCTTGACCAGGAGGCTGTCGTTCGAATGGAACAAGGGGACACTACATGGTTTAAAATCAGGAAGGGAGTGCATCAGGGTTGTATCTTTCCCCCATACTTATTCAATCTATATGCTGAGCAAATAATCCGAGAAGCTGGACTATATGAAGAAAAATGTGGCATCGGGATTGGAGGAAGAATGATTAACAATCTGAGATATGCAGACGACACAACTTTGCTTGCTGAAAGTGAGGATGACTTGAGGCACTTGCTAATGAAGGTTGAAGAATACAGTCTGCAGTATGGATTACGTCTCAATATAAAGAAAACAAAAATCCTCACAACTGGACCAATGAGCAGCATCACAATAAATGGAGAGAAGATTGAAGTTGTCAGAGAATTCACATTGCTCGGTTCTACAATCGATGCCAACGGAAGCAGCAGTCAGGACATTAGATGACATGTAGCCTTGGGAAAGTCAACCGCGAAGGAACTGTTTCAAGTGCTGAGGAGCAAGGATATCTCCTTGAGGACTAAGGTGCGCCTACACAAACCATGATATTTCTAATCACCTCCTATGCATGTGAGAGCTGGACAATGAATAAGGAAGACCAAAGAAGAGTTGATGCTTTTGAGTTGTGGTCCTGGCGAAGAATGCTGAAGGTACCATGGACTGCTAAAAGAACTAACAGATCTGCCCTGGAGGAAATGCACCCAAAATGCTCCTTGGAAGCGAGAATGGCCAGACTTTGTCTCACCTATTTTGGTCATGTTGTCAGAAGGGATCATTCCCTGGAGAAGGATGTCATGCTTGGTAGGGTGGAGGGTCAATGAAAGAGGGGGAGGCCTTTAACGAGATGGATTGACACAGTGGCTGCGATGATGGACTCAAGTATAGCAGGGATCGTGGAGCTGGCGCGGGATCAGCCAGTGTTTCGTTCTGCTGTGCATGGGGTTGCTATGAGTCGGAAATGACTGGACGGCACCTAACAGCAATGACAACAACTCCCAAAGGGGTGTCATGTACTTTATTTACATTATTAGCTAAAGAAAGCATGGTTAAAAGAGCCATGTAAAGCACAATGGTAATGTTTTTATGACTTCAAAATAGGACATAGCCACAGCAGAACCATCAAAACAAGAACTAACTTGGATGTGATCTCATTTCCAGGTCCCACCGACATTCCACCAGTTTCCCTAAAACACTGGGCAGTGTTTTGTTCTATTGTACATTTTTTTCTATTGTACATTAGTTTACAAGTCTAGAGTTTAGTCCAGGCTCACACCATATGGTGAAATCGTATCTCATAGTACCTTTCCACCTGGTACACCCCACCCCCTAGTCTTCCTTGTCCTTCATGGTGTTGACATTTTCCAAGAGTACAAACCAGTTATTCTGTAGAATGAATGCCCTTCAGTTTGGGTCTATCTGATGTTTCCTCATGACTATAGGCACTTGACTGCTAACCAGAAGGCTCGTGGTTCAAACCCACCAGCCAATCCTCGGAAGGAAGGTTAGGCAATCTACTTCTGTAGTGATACCACCTCAGAAACCCAGGGAGGGGTCGCTATGAGTCGGGTCCAACTCGATTGCAAACAACAACAGCAACATATGCAGATTATATATTTTGGGCAGGAAACTCACAGAAGTTTCTAGAACATTTCATCAGGAGGGGCCCATGTTGATTTGGTCTATTACTGGTGATACTAACTTTTTCATTGGTTAAGATAGTGTCTGCCAGGCTTCTCACTGTAAAATTAAGGAATATTTTGTACTTAGAAATTAGAAAGTAGTCCAACAATATTTGTTGGGAGACATTTTGAGCCCCTGTACAATACCCCTACTAGTTTAGCACCCATGGGTGAGCCTTGCCTGACTCAGGTACAGCTCTGATAGTTGCCTCCATTTTCACATTCCATCTACATTCCTTGACAGTGGGCTCAAGGCGTCAGGGATTGTGAAGATGGCACAGAATGGGGCAGTGTTTTGTTCTGTTGTCCATTAGGTCTCTGAGTCGAAACCAACTCAATGGCACCTCACACCAACAGCATCTACATTTGTTAGCTGGCATTCCAAGAAAGGTAGAGCTTTGCCTTCACCCCATTTATTTGTTTTTTAAATCTTAATGACCCATGAATTTCCTTTTTGTTGAGTGGGTTGTAATTTGTAGTTGTCATTATTTTATTTTATGTCATATTGTCCCAGATTGACCAGTGTCAGCCCCTTCTTGCTGGCCGCTGTGTCCTTTTTGCATGTCCCTGTTATTCTTTGAGTACTTTCTTACTTTCTGGCACAATGGTTAGGCCCATCTTATGCTTTCTGCACACCAGTCCTGGAATCAACCGTTTATCCAAGGTTCCTTTTAGTGGAGAAGGTATTCAGAAACCAAGATCTGGGTGCTAAGTATGCGTATTCCTCCAGGGGTCACCAGTGGATGCTGAACTAGTGGGCAAGAGTCTGATGAGAACAGGATATGTACGTGGTCTCAGAATATCTCCCGACAAATATTTTTTGATTGCTTTTTAATTGCATTTATTGTAGTCTCTCTCAGCAGAGAGATCTAGAAAGTATAAGTTCATAGGTGCATATATATTTATATACATATGTAGCTGGACATATGTGCATAGGCACATACACATATGTATCTGGTTCTATAGCTGTCTATATGTTGAAGACCATGAATCATACCAGTGGCTCCAATACCAGTCCAGTATCACAGGATTTCCTCTAGCCATCTTTTGTCCCATATTTGTAAATCCTGCTTCTGCTAGTGAGGGGCCTGACTCCATCATCACTAATATATTTTCTTATTTGCTCAGTTCCTATATGTAAGCAGTCTGTTGACCACACTGGCCAAACCCCTTTGGCCCTGATGCCACTGACAATGCTGGCATATGTATATGTATGTTTTTTAAGTACCAGTCCACTAGTGAGACCAATGTAGTTTAAGAATTCTGGGTGGTTCTTTTTGTCCTTAGGGTGTATCTCATTAGGGATGTGTAGTTATCCCTTGGCATCCGCAGGGTATTGATTCCAGGACATCCCTGCAGATATCAAAGTCTGCAGATGCTCAAGTCCCTTATATAAAATGGTGTATTATTTGCATATAACCTACTCATATCCTCCTGTATACTTAAAATCATCTCTAGATGACTCATAGTCCCTAATACAATGTAAATGATATGTAAATAGCACTTTACACACCCTCTTAACCTTTAAGGGGTTGCTCTGACCACTTAATTACTCTCCCACCCCCACCCTGAATATTTTCAATCTGTGATTTGTTGAATCAGCAAATGCAGAACTCATGGGTATGGAAGGGCTATCTGTATAGTCAAAATACAGTGTTAAATATACTTAAAATAATTGTCTGGGTTCTATCACCAACTTGATAAATAGTTAGGTTCATTTGTTTTAATTTGCTTTCAATATAAAGGGAGTCCTCTTTTTTTTTTTTTTTTTAAAAAGAAAGCTAAAATAAGTTTAGTTTTTTAATTAACAAAAAGGTTTAAATGAGTCCAAACTCAAACTAGGAAATAGGATATATTCAGAAAGTTCTAGCTTCTGTTCCCTGCCTCCTCCCATGCTTCTCTCCTCTGTGTGTGTGGTGTGTGTGCGGAAGTGTGCATGAATTCATGTTCTGGAGGTCATGTCATAGCATACACAGAGCTTCAGCCAGAAACAGGAGGTCGAGTGAATCACACAAGGCATGAACTACACCTACAGTGCAGTTCCTTTCGTAGGAGTCCCCAGAAGGCAAAACCAAACAAAGTATTGTTTAAAGATACAAAGGTGGGAAGGAAAACCAGGGGCATAAACACAAGTTCAGGAGCATGGTTTCCCCTTGGAGCTTCAGGGCCTGCTGTGTTGGCCTCCACAGGCTCTGCCCCTGCACTTCTAGCACCCTGTCCTCTCCATTCATGGTTTTGTTCCCCATTGGAGACATGGTACAGGAAGCTGCCACAAGCCACTGTGCCTGTCCTGATGCTGCTTGGGTCTGTTCTCTGGCAGGTTACCTTCAGGGCGAGCAGTGGCAAGCCCCTGGCTGTGCTCTGCCTGGCCGTGGAGCCCCAGCCCCACGTGGTGGACCAGGTCTTCCGCTTCTACCACCCAGAGCTCACCTTCCTGAAGAAGTCCATCCGCCTGCCTCCATGGCACACGCTTCCAGGCAAGTCCTCATGATGCCCCCAGGTAGCAGGTGGCAGCATACTACCTCACGATGCTCATCAGTGAACTGCAGGTGACAACCTGCCTTATTGTTTGAAAAGGTGCTTTCCTTCCCTCCCCCAGGATGAGTCCACCCTTCTGAAAATCACAGTTCCTTGACTCAGGTCTGCTATTCAGACATGGGTGTGGGGTGGCTAAAAATGGGCCAGGCTGGAGTGGCAGTGGCCACGGTGTCCCTGAGGCCCACACTGACTCACGGGTGCAGCTCCCTCATCTCAGCGGTGTCCATGTCAGACGTGACATCTATGTATCTATTTCACTGTAGGCACCTCTTTAGCCCCTGTGTCAGGCTAGGCCTGCCTTGGCCAGTGACTGAGACGTGACATGCTGCAGGACTGTCTGCCACATGGGCTGGGCTGTCGAGAAAGATGTGTGTGTTCTGATGTTTTTCCTCCTCCAGGTGCCCGTGTGGGAACACCTGGTGAGGATCCCCCAGTCCAGGTTCGCTGTAGTGACCCCAACGTCATCTGTGAGACACACAGTGTGGTATGTCTGTGACCCCGGCCTGGGGAGTGTGCCTCTCAGCCAGGCTGCTTCACAAGCCCCACGCCCCCATCTTCCCCCTCGTCTCCTAACACCCTCTCTGTCTGAGGTTCTGGGCTGTATGCTTCTTCCCATGATGATGAGGGCTGTGCTGATGTCCTTGTAGAGTTTTGTGAACGAGTTTTCATTTTTTTTTTCTGGTAGCAGATCAGTTCCTTGATCATCTGAATTTAAGTTAAAAAAAGGTGTGGAACAAAGGGACTGGAGTGGGTGGTAATTAAGGCATTTATTAATTGCCTTTGTGTAAAGGATAAAGGCAATAATTGTATCAGGGTTGATTAGGAAGCTGGATAAAATCTCCTGCAGAATATAATTATCAAAATCAATATAAAATCAAGAACTTAATGATTTTCTCTTTTGTAGTGAGGGAAAAAAAAAAACCCACAATGCATTCTGACTAGTATGCAGGGTCTCCCACACCACATGCAGAAAATAAATGAGTCTGTTGCAGGCAGGGGCTGGTCCCACCTGGTCACTCTCCCCACAGATCTGGATGCTGGGGAGGGGAGGGCTGGCGTGCCATGGCATGTATACCAGTGGTTGCATCGTCTGTTGGCAGGGCCCTGGGGAGCCCCAAGACGTGTTCCTGAAGGTGGCCAGTGGTCCAAGCCCAGAGATAAAGGACTTCTTTGTCACTATCTATGTGTGAGTAACAAATGTCAGCCACCTGTGGAAGGTGGGAGAGGTGGTGAGGAGTCAGAAGCTGTGGATGCTGTCACTTGGGATGGGAGCTGAGTTCTGGAGCTGGGAGGCACTTCAGGAGGTATCCTGTCTGCTGCGGAGGCACAGACGGCCTGGCTGGCCATAGGGGCATGGGTGCCACTCTCCAGGGACTCATTGGTTCCCCTGGGGCTCGCTCCTGCAGGGCCAGGCCCCAAGGAAAGAGACGTGGCAGCACCCACTGACACTGGCAGCCTAGTTACTCTGCTGAAAGTTGAAGCAGACTTCTTTTGGGCTCACCTAAGCTGTGTACATCCCCAGGGAGGTTCACACTGGATGATCACTGTCCTCGTCATGTCTGGAGACTGCGATCAAATACCCCTTGCTTTCCTCCCCCAGGCCGGGCAAAATAGCTCATTTTTTTATTTTTTCCTTATAAGTTCTAGTTCCAACCCCTTTGAGGGTCCTTTAGAACTGGTTCAAGGTGCAAGATTTCTGTAGTATTTCTAAGAATAGGGTAGGGACTGTGCCTGGGGGTGGGGGCTGCACCATGCATCTTGTGTGGTACATGGACATTGAAGAGTAAATCTGCAACGACCCAAAGATGTGGAGAGTGGGATCCTGGTGGGGTCTGGCAGCACTTCAGAGGTGGACACAGAGTCTCTCACACCACATGCAGAGCCCACTGAATTCAGGCCTGTGTCCCATCCAGGTCACATCTGTCCTTCCACACACATTGTGTGGCCCCTGGCTTTGCCTCAGGACTCTGCTTTGGGATTTGAACTTGCCTAGGTGCATGTTTGGTGAAAGCTTCAGTTGTGTTCAGTCATTCACGTGGTTCTTGGGCCCCCATGTGGCTGGGCAGAACCCAGGTGCAGAGTAGAGTGAGGAATAGGTCACAGCTACCATGTAACCTTCTAGTTTAGGTGGGAGGTAGGTGGGACTGCCAGCTAGGGGAGGGCAGTTGGGCCCACTCCATGTTCTCGGGCCTGCCTTGTATACAGGCAACACTTTGGCCTCTGTCCCTGCTTGGCTCTTGGGGCTTGGCTTGGTGCTGCCAGGCTTCTGTCCCCCATGATGGGCTTCTGTCCTCCAGGACTCCCTTCTCCCCAGGGCCCCCCCTTGGGTGGGCACAGACCCCTCTGTCCTGCTGACCCTCAATGACTCCTCTTCACAGGGAGGCCCTCCTCCCCCCAGAGCTCCCTTTCCCCCAGGGCTCCCATTCCTTAGGTCTCTCTCCCCTCCTTCCCCTTGGGGCTCCCCCATCCTTGAGCAGGTGCAGACCCTTCTGTCCTGCCACAGGGATCGCTGGATGGCAGCGCCCATCCAAATCTGGCAGCTCTACCTGCACTCCCTGCAGCGCGTGGATGTCTCCTGTGTCACAGGCCAGCTGACCCGCCTGTCCCTGGTCCTTCGGGGGACACAGATGGTTAGGAAAGTGAGAGCCTTCACCTCACACCCTCAGGAGCTAAAGGTACAGCCTGACGGGGGGCCACTGGGCTGAGCTCATGCCTCCTCCCCACGCCCCACGGCTTGGCCCCAGACATGATCATGATGGGGACTTCCATATAGCTCAGTGGGTGGTCCTGGTGATGGACTTTTATAAGACCTTTCATAACAAAACGTGTTTTTTCTTGTTTAACCAAAGTCCTCACCAAAATCACCTTTTACTAAATATGTCATTCATAGGATGATTGACATAAACCTCAAAGGCAAACCTTTATGATTATTAAAATCTAAACATTACTAATTACTGGAATGAATGTTGCCATAATTATGTACCTGAAGTCCCTTGATGGCACAGACAGTTAAGTGCTTGGCTACTGATGCTAGTGTGCAGAAGAAAGTCCTGGCAATCTATTTCTGAAAAAACAGCCATGGAGAGCCTGTGGAGCACAGTTCTCTGATACACCTTGGCTCACCGTGAGTCGGAGTTTGGGTTTAATTATGCATCTGGACGGCAAGGCACGTGCAGGTATTCCAGTGGGTGGGGCTTAGGCAGGGGGTGTTGAAGCCCTATCTGTCGAGAGAACACAGGAAGGAGCCACCGTGGAAGGAAGGACCATGACCTGTGTAGCATGAACTTGGAAGGCTAAGGCATTCAGATTTCCCCTCTCGCTGCTTCTGACATCATGTAGGACCTGGCCCCAGGTGGGCAGTGCTGCCCCTCAGGCAGGCACCTGGGTCCCTTGCTCTGGGGCTGGAAACTCCTTTCCCACCTTTCTTCCCCACACAGCTTCTGGGTTTCTCCTAGTTAACCAGGCTGAGATCACTCTGGAAGCTCTTTGTTTGTACATAGGGGAGAACACACCCCTGACCTAGCTTCTCTCTTGTGTTTCTTGGAGACGGACCCCAAAGGTGCCTTCGTGCTTCCTCCTCATGGCGTGCAAGACCTGCATGTGGGTGTGCGGCCCCAGCGGGCCGGCAGCAGGTTCGTCCACCTCAATCTCGTTGATGTGGATTTCCACCAGCTCGTGGCCTCCTGGCTCATCTGCCTCTCATGCCGCCAGCCTCTCATTTCCAAGGTCAGTGCTGATGCTTGGAGGCCACCAAATGGGGGCTTACTGCCTAGCACTGGTGGGCCTTTGCCGCATGATCTGGGTGGTGAGGTGTTATCTGGCTGTCACCTGTGCTCCCAGGGAGGAGGTCCTTCCATGTAAGGCTGGGCAGGGGGCTGGGTGTTTACCCCTTTCCTATCTGTGTCTTCTTTGGCCAGAAGCTCCTGAGTGTGTCTGTGTCTGTCTGTCATTGCTCTGTCCCAGCTCGAGGGTCACATGGTACAGAGCAGGCTCAGGAAGCACTTCAAGAAGGAAGGGACGGCTGTGGCCCCAGGTCTAATGACAGTGTCCCTGCCCTCTCTCCCTGCTCAGGCCTTTGAGATCACATTGGCTGCAGGTGAAGGGAAAGGAGCCAACAAGCGGATCACCTATACCAACCCTTACCCATCCCGGAGGGTGTACCACTTGCACAGCAACCACCCTGACCTTCTGCAGTTCAAGGAGGACTCCTTTGAGGTGCGGGGGTGAGGACTGGGCACTTTGGGTACTGGTGGGGCTGGCGCACAGTGGGCGGGAGACTCTGAAGGCCCTGCTTCTCGTGGAGCCCAGATGCTTCCGGAAGTGCAGTGGTAACACTGAACTGAAGAGCAATTCAGTTAATGATGGAGGCTTCAAAGAATCCTCAGAATGTGGGGAATGGCACCCTCTGCTTTGGGTTAAATCCTTAAACAGCAGGAGGACTCCTGATGGGCAAGCTCTTGTGAGACCCGCCTTCCTGGCCTCCCCACAGGGGAGGCCTTGCACCTCCTTCCTGTGGTTTCCGCTCAGTTTATCCAGAACTGTCTCAAAGGCCACTTGCCTCATAAACAAGACCTCTGTGTATCTTACAGACAGCGCAGCAGAGCACTCTGTCAATTAGTACAGGGTGTTGATTGCAGCTTCTCCTGTGGGTGTGGGCAACAGCAGCTGTGTCCAGGGTTTTCACAGTGATGTTGGAAATTTGTCTAAGAAAGTAAGCTAGTGTTAGGGTCTGACTAGCATGTCACTGGGCTGAGCCTGCTGTCTGCCTTTGTGAACTCTGTCCCTGAGGACCCCCGGTTGGCCTCCAGTTCTGATCTTCCTGGGGTGCTGGGAGCAGCAGTGTAAGGCCATGCATTTGATGCATGCACCCAGAGGACTAAAAATCCTTCATGGACCTGTGGGCCCTGGTGTCTGGTTGAAACAGATGTCAGCGTGCATGAAGCTAGGAAAGAAGGTAGGACAGGCTCAGTGGTGGTTCTGACCCATCTTTCCAGGTCAGAGGAACCCCTGGTGGGCAGGCAGTTAAGCAGTTGACTACTAGCGAAATGGTTGGTGAAATGAACCCACCCACAAACACCTCAGGAGAAAGGCCTGCATCTACTTCCGATCAAGCAGCCATTGGAGACCTTAGGGTGTACAGTTCTAGTCTCACATACATGGGGTTGCCATGGTGGAGCCTACTCAGTGGCAACTGGTTTGGTTTGGTCTCCCCAGGTCGGAGGAGGAGAAACCTACACAATTGGGCTACGGTTTGCCCCAAGTCAGAGTCCTGGAGAGGAGGAGATTCTCATCTATATCAATGACCATGAAGACAAAAACGAAGAGACGTTTTGCGTGAAGGTTGCCTACCAGTAAAGGGATACTTTGCAGGAATGCGCGGTCTCTGCATCTGTCAGCACCAGCCTCTGCGCTACTCGGGGAAAGCCTCGTCCTCTCCTTAGTACTCCCCAGCTATGGCAGCCATGGACGGCCCTGCACCATACGCCCTTTCCTCCTGGCTTCTCTGCAGCATTTGACCTCAGATGATCTGCCCTGATGACCTATGAACTTAGCCAAGGGGTGGGGAGACCACCGTGTGCTATTTGTGATGCCCATGTCCAGTCAGGCTCCTGCCAACACCATACCCACGGAACAAGACCCAGACTTGGCGTGCACAGAGATGCTGGCAGTGTGTTGCCCCTGCCTGGCTGCACACGAGGCTCGATGCTGCTGCAGACAGGAGTTGCCCTCTGACAAAGTCGTCTGATTTGCTTTCAACCAAGTGGTTTACTGATTTTTAACAAAATGCACTCTATGAATCATCTTAACTGATAAAATTATGTCTTTCTCACTCCATTTTATATAGGTATGTTTTTTGATATACAATGTTCATACTGGCATTATTTCATAACTTTTTAAAATTATTATGCAAAACACTAAACTTCTACACATTTTCTCTTTCAAAAGTTTTCTTGAGTGTTTTCTGTCTCCATCATAAGCCTAGTTTCCCATAGGGAAATGTGCATGAGGGACACTCAGGTGGCCCATACCAGCTGCTCAGGAGGGTGAATTCATGTAGGCCTAGCCAGAGAGGGTGAAGACATGGAATCCTGCTAGAATTGTGCAGGAGGTGGCTGGAATGGAGCGGGCTGCTTTCCCAGTTCTGCTATGTCCTACTGAATAGAGGTCTCGGCTGCGGTGAGGCCATGAACTTGTGTTCACACACTCAGAGCACATCCTCCCATCTATACTTTTTGGAACTCACCTTCCTTTTTTGCAGAGATGATCAGTAATTGCTGTTTCTGCTGCCCTGGTGCACCATTTCGATGGTGACACAGCCACTTTTCCCAGAGAGGGTGCACGTGCACTTGGAGGGGACTTGTGGTTCATGGGTTTGGCTTTTCCTGCCTCTGTTGTCAAGGATGAGTGTAGGGAGCAGGTGTGGGGTCACCTAGCTGTGTCTGTGTGCCTGGACCTGGCTTTTTGATTAGACTGTGTTGTGTTCCTTTCTCCATGGACTTGGAGACCAGCCTAAGACTCCTCTAAGAACCCAGCAGAAATGGCTGTGGCATAGCATTTCTCTGAAGGCAGTCCTCAATGTTGAGTCCTACTTGCGCTAACAACTGTAAGGCATCCAGTTGTTAGCAGTTTTCTCCTCCCACAGAAAATCTTAGCCAAGCACATCTGGCTGGGAGATGAGCCACCACCCAGAGGTGAGGTCTGTGCCCGGAGGGGCCAGGAAGATGTGGGCTGCTCTGTGGGCCCCTAGCTGATCTTCCTTTCTGCTGTCGTGACAGTACTGTGGCTGACAGCTGAGGAGTCCTGAGAAAGGAAGTCCTATGACTTCTAGGGAACATGAATAAGAGCCATCTGCAAGAAGTGTGGGATGAGGAGCCAGGAGACCAGAGCTCAAGCTTAGAAACTCATTTGTCTTCTCTTTTTTCCAGTTAATTTTGTATTATGAACATTTTAAAGAACAGTAGAATTTATGCATTTGTACTTACTACCTAGAGTTAACTTTTTTTTTTTTTTTTGCCATAGTTGCTTTCTCTATATAACTTCTTTGAATCATTTGAAAGTTATAGGCATCGTGACACTTGATCCTAACTGCTTCAGCATGTATCTCCTAAAATTAAGGACATTCTCCTACACAAGCACATATTACTATTACCTAAGATACTTCACAAAATTTCTTTAATAAGAAAAATCTCCAGGCCATATTCATATTTCCTCAGTTATCCTCAAATGTATCTTTCATTCTTTTATCAATGGATATTTAGGTTATTTCTAGTTATTTGCTATTACAAGTTATGCTACGATTAATGTCCATCCTTTTGGAGATATATGAGTAATCTATTTTTTTCCCCCCGATTTTGGTAATATCCCAAGGAGCTCTGGTGTAGTGCCTAAGGCATTTGACTGCTAAACAGAAGGTTGGCAGTTCAAACCCACTGGCTGCTGCGTGGAAGGAAGATGGGGCAATCTACTTGCATAAAGATTTACTGCCTCAGAAACCTCTATAAGTTGGAATGGCAATGAGTTTGTTTTTATGTATATCCCAGCTTTACTCCTAGCTGACCCTGTGATCTTAGCCAAGTCACTGAGCCTCTGGCCGTTGTTTCCCTATTTGTGGGCCTTACCACCCCCTCTCAAAGGGACTAGGGAGTTAGAGAAAAACATGACTCGAGGAGCCAGTCCATTTCCAAGTGTGGCTGCTTGGCCTTGGCTTGGTGGGACCACGTGGGCCTGGAGCATCCCCCAGCCCAGCACTCCCAGGTCTTGTGGCTAGCCTCCAGCAGGGATGCTATCTGTACCTCTTGTCCCAAGGCCATGCTGGTGGGCCAGAAAAGAGCATGTCTGCAGACAGTCACAATGGGGTGGGAGTGAAGGATGGCCTTCCAAGGGGACAGCCAATGTCTTGGGTGGTCATAGCAGGCTGGCTTCTTAAGATCAGGGAAGAGGACATGAATCCATTCTTTTGGGGCCCTACAAGGTCTTCCCACCCCTCAAAATGTGGGTTGTTAGTTGCAGTTGAGTCAGTTCCCACTCCTGGTGACTCCATGTATGGCAGAATGAAACATTGCCTGATCTTGTGTCATCTGCATGATCTTTGGTACATTTGAGCACATTGTGGCTACTGTGGCCATCCATCTCATGAAGTGTTGCCCTTGTTTTTGCCAACCCTCTACCAAGCATGATGTCCTTTTCTAGTGACTGGTCTTTCCTGATGATGTGTTTGTCTTCTTTATCTAGTGCTCCAAACCAAACTCACTGCCATTGAGTCAGTTCTGACTCATAGCAACCCCCTTTGGGTTTCTGAAGTGGTAAATCTTTATGGAAGTAGATTGCCCACTCTTCCTTCCGTGGAGTGGCTACTAGAACAGAAATACCATAGCAAATATAAAGTAGACAGCTTTAACAAACAAATTTCTCACAGTTTAGGAGGCTAGAAGTCCGAATTCAGGGCAGGAGCTCTAGGGGAAGGTCCTTGTTGCCTTTCAACATCTGTGGGTCTGGTGTTCCTTGGAGATCTTGTGTCTTGGCATCAGTCTTGCCCTGGTTCTGGGAGATTGTCAGCGCAGGCACCTCGGGTCCAAAGGGTGTTCCCGGCTTTTCATTCTTGGTAATAGTGAGTTCCCCCTCTCCCTGCTTGCATCTTTCTTTTATTTCTTGTAAGATAAAAAGTGTGACTCAAGCAATAGTGTGACTTGAGTAAGGGTAGTGACTTGAGTTAAGGTGGGACTCAAGTCACGTCCTCTTGTAAGCCTCTGACTCAAGATACAATCCACTCTACTCTTGTATCTTAACATAGAGAGGTTAGCATAATCACACAATACTGGGAATCATGGCCTAGCCAAGTTGACACATATTTTTGGGGGGACACAATTCAGTCCATGACAGAGTCCAAAATAATGAAGTGAAGTTTTGCCATTCTCAATGCTAAGAAACATTCTGATAGTACTACTTCTAGGACTAATTTGTTCGTTCTGGCAGCCTATGATATATTCATAGTGTATATTGGGAGACAAGGATTTTCTAAAGATGACTCTTCCCCAGAGGTTGCAATCCCCCAGAGGTTGGTTGCTCCCTGCCATTTCAGGGTGAGCCCAATTCTTCCATGAAGCTCCAGGCAGAGGTCAGGAGTCTGTCTCCAAGGGACGGGTGGGTGGTGGTGAGTCATTTATGGCACCTCTGCTCCCTGCTTCCTGCGGGCTTGTTTCATGAAGTCTAGGAGTTGCTTAGGCAAGCACGTGCCCTAGACTCTCTCTCAGCTTGCACACCTGAGGTGCTGTCAAACCCTAGACTGGTAGCACTTTGAAAAATCATCCATGCAGCACGTGTCTTTGGAAGGAGTGGTGATTCTGAAAGCCTGATTGCTTGCTTTCCCAGCTGAGATGGGAGGAAGGAGGAGGTGGGAGGGGTGCAGGTGTGCATGTGAAGGGAGCTTCCATCCCCTCCCCCTTCCATTTCCAGATCCTTCCAGGAGCTGGCTCCTCCTGCAAGGAGATAGGCTGCCTAGTTGCTAGAGGCTTACTCTTTGTCAGCTGAATTTTTGTTCTGGAGAACTGAGGGTTGTGCTTTTCCTGTGGAGGCTGATCCACCAGATGGCACTTGCCCATGCACAGTGGTGGGGCTTCTGGAGCTGCCTCAGTCATGCTGGTCCATGAAGCCCAAGACCATACAGTGGGCCAGTCACTTAAGTCCCATCTACTCTGCATACCTGAGACAAGGTGACTAGAAAGAGCCAGCTACGTCATCCCTGACAGCACTCCTGTGTGTATAGGGACACTGCACACCCTGCATGCCAGGCCCCATCCCTGCACCTACAAGCACCCCCAGTGGGTATAGGTGTCCATGCAGAGGGAATAGACCAAACTGCAGATGGGCTTCCCGTTTGTATGGCTCAGCAGTGCACGTGGGCTGCTCCTTAGGCAGTGAGCTCACTGGGGACTAGAGGAGGCACTGACATTACTCAAGTGGGGAGATCAGGCCCAGGGGGAAGAAGTGGCCTTGGCCTTTGAAAGAGAGGTATAGAGAGCCAGAAGGGCTTGTACACACTCACTCTTGCTCATTCACTCCCATTCATTAACTCATTCATCTACTCATTCAGTGAATGAGTCATTCACTCATTCACACACATACTCATTCATTTACTTAGTTACTTACTCATTCTCTCATTCACGCATTCTCTCATTTGCTCACTTATTCACATACTGTCTTTGTTTTCTACTTCTCTAACAGAAATACCACAAGTAGGTGGCTTTAACAAAGAGATACTTATTTTCTCACAGTTAAGGAGGGAGGAAGTCCAAATCCAAAGGGCCAGCTCTAGGGGAAGCCTTTTTCTGTCAGCTCTAGGGGAAGGTCCTTGGTCC